GCAGCAGAAAAAAAGAGAACACCGAGGAGGCAAAGCTTCTTTTCTAAAACCCCAGCCCAGTAACGGCACACCTCATCTCTGTTCATGGCCCGGTACAGGATTTGATCTCCTGGCTCACCTAACTCCAGGGGAGTCTGAGCATGTGGTCTAGCTATGTGCCTGAGAATGGATTTCAGTAGACTGCTAATCATCTTTGCCACAACGTGCAATCCCAAGCTACGTTTTATTCAGAGCAGGAGGCTCTAATACCATCTGATACCATATTACTCAACAGTAGCTAGAATATTTGGCAGCAGCTTTTTGAGCCACTTAACCAGATGACTTGACTTTTAAAATTCTAGGGGGAAAAAATCATCAATGGTTCTTGAGTAGTTCAAATGAGATGACGAAGTCTTAGAAGTCTGGCCGTTATTGAGAGCAAGTCTCAATTATTCGGGTCCAGGAGTAGTGAGACTGTCTTAAATTATCTGGTTGGTTTCAGTGAGTGTGGTAATTGTAGGGGTTCCCCATCTCTCCCCCTTCTGCCCCACCTGCCAGTTCCGGTTGTATTTCAGGAATCCGTTTTGGCGATGCCTGTGATCACACCGGAGTCTGATTCTCTCCGTCTTTACCTTCTCCTTCCTCTGAGAATCATTGTCAGATGGCCCTTAAGCTGCAGCAACCGTGCCCCCAGTGGAGACCTAGAAACCTCCTTCCTTACAACTTCTCCAAAGCAGACTAGCATCTCATTTTCTGGGTTGCCGAAAGACAAAATGACATCCCTAAAGTTATTGTAGAACTGATGCTATAAATTTTTCAGGGTAACCGGGTTATTTTTCCTAATGCAACATCTCCTTATAAATGATAACACTGCAATTCTGAGGATACAGTAAAAGGTGACAGCACGGACCACACTTACAAGAGATATTTGGCCTAAGGGAAGGCCACGTTTTAGATTCTGGGAGGCCGAAACCCTGGAGTCAAATTGTCAAGGCCACATACGCACTATTTTAAAATGAAATTATAAGGAAAAAATACACAAATGACTGGAGAAGTAACAAGAAGTATTTAATATTTTATTAAAAACAGAAACTTAGAGGGGGGCACCTGGGTGGCTCGGTTGAGCGACTTCGGATCAGGTCATGATCTCACAGTTTGTGGGTTCGAGCCCCGTGTCGGTCTCCGTGCTGACCGCTTGCTCAGAGCCTGGAGCCTGCTTCAGATGCTGTGTCTCCTTCTCTCTCAGCCCCTCCCCCGCTCACGCTTTGTCTCAAAAATAAAATAATGTAAAATAAATAATAAATAAATAAAATGTAAATAAATGTGAAATTCTCAAAAATAAATGTAAAAAAAAATTTTTTTTAGTTAAAAAAGAATCGAAACTTAGGGGCCCCGGGGTGGCTCAGTCAGTTAAGCACCTGACTTCGGCTCAGGTCATGATCTCACAGTTCATGAGTTCAAGCCCCACGTAGGGCTCTGTGCTGACAGCCTGGAGCCTGCTTTGGATTCTGTGTCTCCCTCTCTCTGTGCTCCCTCCCCCACTTGCACGTGTGCTCTCCCTCTCCGTCTCTCTCTCTCTCTCAAAAATAAATAAACATTAAAAAAAAATTTTTAAATAAAAATAGAAATGTAAAAAAAAACAAAAACAACAAAAAAAAAAAGTGGGCTTTTTTTTCACCACCCGGGGTGGTGATCAAGAGATAATTCCATGGATTGTGTCTTAAAGCCAAGAGGCTAGAAAAGCTTGTTGAGCCACAAGCACTGTACAGGGAGCCCCTCGCCCTTCTGCCACTAGAGGTACTTATGTCATTCCCAGGAAGCCTGCAAGGCTCCAGGGCTGGATCAATTTAGGACTCTGTGGGAGACATTCTATACCATAAGGGGAGGCTTGCTTGCATCAAAGTAAGTATGAATAGCAAAATGCAATGTAGCACTGTCTTTTATCCAATAAAGACATTTAAATGTGTTAACACTTCACATTCATTGCGCACTTGCTGTGTATGTGATACTGTTTTAAACACTGCGTGAGCATTACCTCATTGAATACAACAGACGTGAAGTAGATTCCGTAATCCCCATTTAGTAGATGAGGAAATCAAGGTAGGAGAATTTAAGGATCTTGAACAAGTGTATATGGCAAGGAAGCAGGGAAACTGGAATTCACACGCAAGCAACCTGCTACAAGACCTCTTCTTTTTTAACCACTAGATTATCTGTCTCTTCTCTCTGGGAGTTTGTTAATTTGTCTCTCCATCCACCGCCATTTTGGCCTCACTGTGAAGTAAAAGAAACAGAATTCCTATAACTTGATTAAGCCAGGGAAACTTCTTGAGGCCTGGGCACTGCTCTAATCTAAAGACGACAAGACTAAACCCCAGTGATATCTTAAGCTTTTGCCCATTTGACACACATAGTAAAGCCCTGAAAACGTTTGAGGAGCTTACCAAAGTCGCAAGTCAAAACACGTCACTGAGAAGAACAATTTAAGGATTATAATTAGACGTCCACTTGGCTCTCTTGTCTAAGAGCTTGCTCTATCACACCACCCACCCCAGGGTATTCTTTCTCTCCTTCCCTATTTCAGGGTCAACATTTGGAACCGTGTGTGGGTCTTTCTCTAATTATGCAGATAAGACAGTGATTAGATACCAAAATCAGTGATAAGATCATTTGGGTTTTAAATTGCCTTTCTGGCACTCTTAGAATTTAAAGAATATCCTAACCTTCCTAACTGCATCTCTGCCTAATATTCCTCCCAGCCAGCAGGGTAACTCTATTTATAATGGTTAAGTAGTTTATCTTTGTCCATTCTGTATGACTCGGTGCCTCCATCCGTGTGAAGAAAGGTTCATAATGCCTGACCGCCATACCTGTTGCCTTTCTACTATGTGTCGCTGGCCAGTCTGGACAGGCCCTGCCACCTCTCCTCCCACCCGGGCTTTGTCACTAAGGCACTTTCATCTGACAAACAGTATTAAGATGTACTATCTTGTATTTTGTCCACTCACCAAGCGCTTCTACTCTTCCCATAATAAGATGAGTTCGATAAACATTCAGGATTTTGTAATGGTAGAAAAACAGAACCTCTCAGGTGTCACACTTTCCTCAGAAATGTGATAAAAAATTGTCTACCCTTGAAGTCACAGCATGATGGGAGAGGCCAGATGACCAAAAGAGTCTTTGAGGAGTTACCAGAGTCAAAGTAATTTTTTTTCCCAGTTTTATTGAGGTACAGTACACACAATGTAGAAAAAAGCATTTCTAACGCTTGCTTCCTCTGTGTTTTCCAAAAGTGCTTTCCGAGCTTTCTCTCCTCACAGATTTTTCCTCTTTTCCCCCTTACTGCTCACTCTATGAAGGGAATAGCTTTGGGTCCCGTTGAACTCAACCAGTCTTTCCTCACAGTCTCTTACATAGATTCGGTGGAGTCCTTCACTGTCAGTAAAACCTTAAGTTGAAACACTGGTTTGGGCAGAGAAGTTAATGAGTAATGACCACTGACGCAGCCCAAGTATCAAATGCAATTAATTAGTTTAACAAACAGGAGTAAAGCGGAGAGTGATCCCTCAGTGTACTGAGGGAAGGGT